CTCAAATTGTAAATCTCTAAACACCAAACCCGAGGTTTTAGTACAGTAACAATAATAAAAGAAATACAACTAATCTCAGAGTATAAATACAGTACCATATCATAACTAACATGAGTATCATGTTATTACTTACATGAATATCATATCAAGATTTGCATAAGTGTTATGACGTAAACTCCCGTGGGAGAAATCATATACAGGGTCAAGAAAATGTGTCCGATACAGGAACTATATACTGTGATTTCCAAACTCTTGAAATAAGTGGCAAGTGTCCAACACGAGGACTGAAAATAGATTATAGTCCAACACGAGGACTGTGAAATTGTGCAAATGTCGCTGAGATATATAGAAGATCTACTTATACCAATCCACACTCAAATCAGTGTGTAAGTCCCCAATTTATACCCTCAGGTCATCTATTATGCATGGATACATAGTAAGACTAAAACCAATGTCAGATAATCCAGGCGAACTCTCGCACATGAGTGAAAATACCCCAGAATACACAAAACAAGGGTTATACAACAGATAGAGCGGCGGTCGACCGCACCGGTCGACCGCTCTCTGATACGCGGCTGGCGGTCGACCGCTGCGGCTTCGCGGTCGACCGACAGAACATCGCGGTCGACCGAAGAAAATTGCGGTCGACCGCAGCCCTAAAACGAGCCCAGCGGTCGACCGCAGCCCTAAAACAAGCCCAGTGGTCGACCGCCAAGCGGACAGATACCCAAATCTGGGTTTCTGTCAGCTTGAAACCTGAAACAATAATTTGATATTCTACGATAACAAGAGTTTTAATGATTCAAAAATCATACTGAAGATAAACAACTAATCCCAAGCTTGAAATCTACATTTCTAATATTCTAAATCCATGAGAAACAAACCAAAAACGTTTTAATAACTGTAAAAATGATTTAACTCTTGTTTAGGAAATTTTCAGATCTAGATCTTTATAAAACAGAACGTTGGTGAATTTTTATAGACTGAAACCTTTGATTCTTGTTAACCATATTATAGAGAGTTCATTGTTATACAAAAATACCATTTTGGCTCATCAAAACTCATAAAAATCCAAAAGAAAATCATAGAAAACAGGGGTGAGGGATTGGGCGAGATGATACTCGCCTTAGATGCTGACAACTGCCCTGAAGATGATCCTCCTTCAGTCCTTCGATCTAATCTGCGAAAACCCCCTAAAAATCCTCCGAACTCCTCAAATCGCCAGATCCAGCTAGGGTTTTGAGAGAAGAGAGATGGGGGCTAGGGTTTTAAACCTGAGATGAAGAGAGGCTCTCCTGGGTTGAATTAGTGTATATACTAATTCCCTAACCCGACCCGAAACCTAATAAGACCAAAACAAAATCCGTGAAAGAAAACCAAACCTGGAAACTCTCTGACCGCTGTGCGGTCGACCGATGCGGTCAACCGCCACGGTCGACCGCGTCGGATTCATCTGATATATATATATATATATATATATATGATTATTTATCATAAGAGAATTATTCACTATTAATAATTCACATATATTATTATAAAAATTTTGGGGTTTTACACAACCCCTATACTGGGGAAGACGAATCCCTTCTTGGCATCTCAATATCTACTTATGTCTCGGGATGTACCCAACAAGAACCGTTATGCACAATTCAATAAGAACTGTGGTTAGGTAAAAGTCTAAATACATCTTTACTGACATATAAGATATTGCACTCATGCCTCAGGTCAAGAGACTACTATGTACTATATCACTTGAGAACTTCTATTTGACGGTTAAGTATAATTACCAACTAGATGTTCTCAGTGAGTCGTTCAGTCAACTCATTCACTAATGAGTCACCTGTATACTATATCTTTATGTCTCACATCAATGATCTAAGAGATGGATCATCGTCCTTCCAAAGAAGAAATAAAGTATACACTAGTCTTACCAAAGTGATGATGTCCCATTTCAACACTTTATCGACTAGGAACATTTTAGAATATACGTTAGCGACAAATCAGATCTCTTCATTACGATCATATCCGAAAATGTCTAATAGTCTAGTATCTTCTAAGGACTGCATACTATTATTTTAAACAATGATGTTATATTCATATAGGTCCTGTTATAATATACAATTATTGCCTGCAGGACACCTATATCCAACAGGTACAGCCTAACATGAGCTAATCATCTTTTCAATTCTATTTTTCAAGCGAAAATTTGGATTTTCTTTCAAGGAAAGGAATAACAAGTGAAGTTCAACTTGGCCCTGTTGTATCTCACTTAGGAGCTATCATCTTGCTGTGGCGATTTCTGCATGATGTAATATACTGAGTGAACCAAAACTTGACCCTCTTTCTGTTCCTTTCCAAATTGGCATATCTCGTCGGATGTTCGTTGACAAGGGAATGCCAATATTATCCAGTGTCTCTAACGTCTCGTTTGGTACGTGGGATGGAATGACCATTCCCACTTCGCATTCCCACTTTTCGTGGGAATGAGCATTCCAAGCGAATTGACGATGAATGGTCATTCCCATTCAAGTGGGAATCAAATTGGTTGCGTAACCTCCAATTACACCCCGATTGATAACAAAAACAAATCTAAAAATCCCGTCTCATTGAGCGACATAACCAGATTAATAACATGGATATGTATGAACAATTGATTAAGATGTTTTTCCTTAAGCTTGCATATATAGGGAAGTGGATTCTAGGATAGAAACACGAAATATTGACTATTTTTATAAATTTTAATAGAAACACTTGATGGGTTCTCAAACACAGATAATTACATTCATCTGATATATATATATATATATATATATATGATTATTTATCATAAGAGAATTATTCACTATTAATAATTCACATATATTATTATAAAAATTTTGGGGTTTTACACAACCCCTATACTGGGGAAGACGAATCCCTTCTTGGCATCTCAATATCTACTTATGTCTCGGGATGTACCCAACAAGAACCGTTATGCACAATTCAATAAGAACTGTGGTTAGGTAAAAGTCTAAATACATCTTTACTGACATATAAGATATTGCACTCATGCCTCAGGTCAAGAGACTACTATGTACTATATCACTTGAGAACTTCTATTTGACAGTTAAGTATAATTACCAACTAGATGTTCTCAGTGAGTCGTTCAGTCAACTCATTCACTAATGAGTCACCTGTATACTATATCTTGATGTCTCACATCAATGATCTAAGAGATGGATCATCGTCCTTCCAAAGAAGAAATAAAGTATACACTAGTCTTACCAAAGTGATGATGTCCCATTTCAACACTTTATCGACTAGGAACATTTTAGAATATACGTTAGCGACAAATCAGATCTCTTCATTACGATCATATCCGAAAATGTCTAATAGTCTAGTATCATTCTAAGGACTTTATCTGTATTAAAATACCAGATAAATCTGACCAAAATAGCATACTATTATTTTAAACAATGATGTTATATTCATATAGGTCCTGTTATAATATACAATTATTGCCTGCAGGACACCTATATCCAACAGGTACAGCCTAACATGAGCTAATCATCTTTTCAATTCTATTTTTCAAGCGAAAATTTGGATTTTCTTTCAAGGAAAGGAATAACAAGTGAAGTTCAACTTGGCCCTGTTGTATCTCACTTAGGAGCTATCATCTTGCTGTGGCGATTTCTGCATGATGTAATATACTGAGTGAACCAAAACTTGACCCTCTTTCTGTTCCTTTCCAAATTGGCATATCTCGTCGGATGTTCGTTGACAAGGGAATGCCAATATTATCCAGTGTCTCTAACGTCTCGTTTGGTACGTGGGATGGAATGACCATTCCCACTTCGCATTCCCACTTTTCGTGGGAATGAGCATTCCAAGCGAATTGACGATGAATGGTCATTCCCATTCAAGTGGGAATCAAATTGGTTGCGTAACCTCCAATTACACCCCGATTGATAACAAAAACAAATCTAAAAATCCCGTCTCATTGAGCGACATAACCAGATTAATAACATGGATATGTATGAACAATTGATTAAGATGTTTTTCCTTAAGCTTGCATATATAGGGAAGTGGATTCTAGGATAGAAACACGAAATATTGACTATTTTTATAAATTTTATTTTTAAAAATAAAATTGCTTAGTTGTTATCATTAATGTTTATTTTTATCTTTTTAATAAACTATGTTGCTGTAAGGACATTATTAGAAAATGAGATTTCATGCTCACTTGTGAACTAATGATATCAAACATGGGAATGAGAATGGAAATTTTATTCTAGCTTCATTCTACAAACGCACCCAAACAAGAAAATGGGAATTGACATTCCACTCCCACATACATTCCATTCAATTTCTTCTTCCATACCATTCTTATTTGAGTCCGTTCCCACGTGCTAAACGAGACGTAAGTGTGCAAATACTCCTCCGACAGCATCCTCAACCAGTTCGGTCCCATTATTCGACGGCAAACACGACCGCCTTTACCTCTTTCGAAACCTCCAAGCATTAATTGGAACGGTTGTCTTTCCAGTTGCGTCATAATCCATGCATCTGCTTGTAAACACACACCCATGCCATTTTTTTTTACGTGCCATCTACTATCATCTTCCCATACTTGGTTTGTTTTTGTTGTTTTTTTATGTTTGCAAGCATACTTGTCTCGTTAGTTCTGAAGAGGATGATCACAGCGAGTGGACAGTAGTTAAAACCTCTGTTTAATCAACCAAGGGGCGTGTAGGGGATGTAGCTCAAATGGTAGAGCGCTCGCTTTGCATGCGAGAGGTACAGGGTTCGATCCCCTGCATCTCCATTTTCCTGTCTTTTTTCCTTTTTGGGAAATCAATGGGGCCCTGGGCGGTGGATCTGAGCCATCTCCTCCGGAACACCCATCAGTTCACCCCACACATCTCAGGTGGGACCCACTAGTCGGTGGGTCGCCCCCACGAACCTCTCCGGCTATAAAAACCCAGCAGAGCCCGACACCGCACAATTTATTTCCTCCTCTTCCCACCCAGCAAGAAATAAATAAAAATAAAAGCGGGGGGGAAATAGAAATTACTTCCGATCTAAATTCCTTCGTCGATCCCCCTCGGTAAATGCTTTTAGATCTGCTGCGATCTAAGATCTCTCGCTGTCCGATCGATCTCGATCCCGTTGTTTTGATCTAAGATCTGTTTTCGTTGAGCAGGCAGAGAGAGAGAGAGATGGGGTTGACGTTCACGAAGCTCTTCAGTCGCTTGTTCGCGAAGAAGGAGATGAGGATCTTGATGGTGGGTCTCGATGCCGCCGGTAAAACCACGATCCTTTACAAGCTGAAGCTTGGAGAGATCGTCACCACGATCCCTACCATCGGTGAGCTTTCTAGATCTGCTATTGTTTAGCTTTTTATTTTTTATTTTTTTAATAATTCGCTTCGAGATCTAACGATGAGGAGGATAATTGTGACATGTGAATTTAATTGGAGAAATTTTCGTATATTTGCAGTCGTAGATAAAGATGCTAAGCTTTGAATTTTGAAAATTTATCTGTGTTATGTTGAAAGCATCATTCTAGGTTTCTTTAGAGCAATCTTTAAAATATCAAGCTTTTTGTTTTAATTTCGAGTATGGATTTGTCTGGAAAATTTTTCTAATCTTTAGACTCGTGTGTGATAAGCATTTGTTGTTACTTGTAAATGACTTGGGTCGTCATGCAGGATTCAATGTGGAGACTGTTGAGTACAAGAACATTAGCTTCACTGTTTGGGATGTCGGGGGTCAGGATAAGGTATTCAGTCTACATGCTCTTTAATTTCTATAATTGGTGAAGCTTGGACGTCTGCATACTTTACATTGACTTACGGAACCCAAATAGATGGATTTCTTGTTTTATTTTAGCTTTATCATTATTCAATTGTTGAAAATTTCCGTTCATTTTAACTAACATAGGATGTGGTGGAAATGAAGCTTCCATATGAAGCTTTACTGATATTGTAATTTTCAAATGTCTAACAACAGATCAGACCTTTGTGGAGGCATTACTTCCAGAATACGCAGGGTCTTATTTTTGTTGTTGACAGCAATGACAGAGATCGTGTTGTTGAGGCAAGGGATGAGCTTCACAGGATGCTGAATGAGGTATATATTTTCTCTTTATATGTTGAAAGTCGAGCAGTGGTTATTAGTACTAAATTATTCATCTTTGAATTTGCATTTCGAACTTTTCAAATGTCTGTGCAACTTATGGTAAGTAGGGGTGAATTATGTTGATTAATTATTATGATGCTAAAAAGCAGCCATCAAAATTGTTAGGTTGTTTGTGGATCCTAAATATCTAATTTCAACATTGTTATTTGATAGTCTGTAAACTCAATTTAGTATAAGAGCTTCTCCAATCGAACGCTTTCCCCTCAAATTGACGCAAGAAATGTTTCTGTTCCTCCTCCAACCGAACGCTTTCCCAGCGCCATTTTGGGGGAGAGCTACAGTGCTGCGCCAGATTTGGCGCAGCACTGTAGCTTTGGCGCAGTGATTATTTTTTTTTTTAGGCATGGAGTTTATTATTTTGTTGGTTTTTAATGTTTCTCTTTTTATTCATGATCAAAATATTTCATGGTAGCTTTTATTTTTTTAATTATTTTGATATGAACTATTGTAATAAAATTAGATTATAAAATAATTATTAAAATAAAATTCAACAATGGAAAAAATAGATAGTTTAATCCAAACACTTAAAATTTCATAATACTAGAACCAAATAGAACATTGAACATAAACTAGAACAACATTGGAAATTAACACTGATTGCAATACATTAAAATTAAAGGAAAATAGAACATTGAACATAAACTAAAACAACATTTCAGTATTCTGGGAAGTCATCATCAGAAGGACGAAGATGCTCGAAATATTGGGCAAAAGTACCATTGAGATCCTTCACCTTGTTTAGTTCTTTTATGCATACTTCTTGATTGTTCTTGTACAAGAAACTCATGTAGTTTTGGATCAGTTACTTGTGTCAAATCTTTCAGTAAAATTAAATTTTCTTCTCGTAATTCTTCCACGTCCACTTTTTTGGTTGCAGTTTGAGCTCGTAACATTTGGATTTCATAATTTAGTTGCCTATCAGCATTATTTTTTTCCATAATTGCAAGCATTTTTTGATTCTCTTCTTTCATATACTCCATAAACTTAGAACTTTCTTCATCATTTCTCTTTTTAAATTTTGCTTTCCGTACCCCTATAGGTCTTTCAGAAGTACCACCAAAATCATTGTCATTCATATTAAAATCGAATGAAGCCAGTCCAGGAGATGCTTGTGTGGGAGAGTCTGAAGTGGGAGAGTACTCTGATTGTGATGATGCAAAGTTACCATGTTGCATACGTCCCACTTGAATTCCAGCATTAACATCTGCAAATTTTTCGATATCTTTCAAGATGGGCCATACATGATCGAATTTGAATCCCTTCTTATAATTCTTATCCTGAGCAAACAACACTTTAGCCCGATTGAACTGCAAAATGATATAAATATATAAAATTAAAATTCAATCATAAATTAAATCTCAAAAATATTTGTAACAAATAACACTTACAATATCTTGTTCAGAAGCACCGCTTGGATTTAAATTTTCAACCTGTCTTACACATCCCCTCATCTTGCCAATTGCAGTTAACAGAGTTTGCATTCGACATTGCAAAGATCTTCTGGGTCGAACTTGAGTGATAAAAGCAGGCATTGAGCTATGATAATCACTCTCAACTCGAGACCAAAATTGATCCTTAGATTGGTTTATACCTATGATCGGATTTTGGGAAATGTCAAGATATACATGGCAGAGGTGGCATTTGTGTATGAAGAACTTCGTTGATTTGAAGTCATCTATAACACAAATGAAGAAGATGTATGTTTCTTGAAGTATGATATGTTATTTATAGATGAAAAATGAAAGTGACAACATTTCAAAGAAAAGACATATCAATGACAACATATCAACTTCAAACACTTCATGACAACATATCAAAGAAAAGACACATCAATGACAACATATCAACTTCTATCACACATCAATGACAACATATCAACTTCTATCACTTCATGACGACATTTCAAAGAAAAGACACCTCAATGACAACATATCAACTTCAAACACTTCATGACAACATATCAAAGAAAAGACACATCAATGACAACATATCAACTTCTATCACACATCAATGACAACATATCAACTTCTATCACTTCATGACGACATTTCAAAGAAAAGACACCTCAATGACAACATATCAACTTCAAACACTTCATGACAACATATCAAAGAAAAGACACATCAATGACAACATAACAACTTCTGTCACTTCATGACGACATTTCAAAGAAAAGACACCTCAATGACAACATATCAACTTCAAATAATTCATGACAACATATCAAAGAAAAGACACATCAATGACAACATATCAACTTCTGTTACTTCATGACGACATTTCAAAGAAAAGACACCTCAATGACAACATATCAACTTCAAACAATTCATGATAACATTTCAAAGAAAAGACACCTCAATGACAACATATCAACTTCAAACACTTCATAATGTTGACACCTCAATGACAACATATCAACTTCAAACACTTCATGACAACATTTCAAAGAAAAGACACATCAATGACAACATATCAACTTCTAGCACTTCATGATAACTCTTCATGACAACATTTCAACTTCCAACACTTCCCGTTTATCATCTCCATCTATTATAAAAGCTCATATTGATGAGTTTGCTAAAATCATAAACCTTTATTTTCAAAAAAAATGAATTTTAACAATAGAGATCCTTCTAATTTGTCATCATCATTTTCTGATAATGAAATTGAAGATGAACAATTGATAGATGATATTGAAGCGATTGATGCAGAAAGGGAAGCGGTGTTTCGCATCAGGAACAACAACAATCTTCTCATGGCTTACTATATCAATCAACAAAACAACCAAGTAATTCGTGGAGGCTCAATTCCTGGTCATATAGTGATCAACCGTGATCGAGAAAATGCTGATCGTAATCTGTTCAACGACTACTTCTCTGAGAATCCGCGATATAATGATTCGATGTTCCGCCGACGATTTCGAATGTCTCGAGATTTATTCCTTCGCATTGTTAACGCCATAAAAGCTCACGACACTTACTTTATACAGCAAAGGGATGGGGTCGGTAGACTTGGATTGTCTACGCTTCAAAAAATTACAGCTGTGTTCCGAATGTTAGCATATGGTCTACCAGCGGATGCTACTGATGAATACATTAAAATAGGAGAGTCGACAACAATCGAAAGTTTTAAGAGATTTTGTCGTGCTGTTGTGGAGGTTTTTGCAGAACAATATCTGAGATCGCCTAACACTAATGACATTGCCAGACTACTACATATTGCTAAACAACGAGGTTTTCCAGGAATGTTGGGCAGTCTAGATTGCATGCATTGGAAATGGAAAAATTGTCCAACGGCTTGGGCGGGCCAATACGCAGGTCGTAGTGGATCCCCAACTATTATTCTGGAGGCCGTAGCTGATTATGATCTTTGGATATGGCATGCATATTTTGGTTTGTCAGGTTCCAATAATAACATTAATGTTTTAGAGGCATCTCATTTTTTTGCAAAACTCGCTGAAGGTATTGCTCCTCCTGCTCATTATGTCATTCAAGGTAAACATTATAACATGGGTTACTATTTAGCTGATGGTATATATCCAAAATGGTCTACTCTTGTACAAACAATTCATGATCCTCGTGGTCCAAAAAAAAAGTTGTTTGCAATGAAGCAAGAAGGATGCAGAAAAGATGTAGAACGTGCATTCGGAGTACTCCAATCTCGATTTGCAATTGTGTCAGGACCAGCTCGTTTTTGGAAAAAAAAAAGTATTACATGATATCATGACTGCGTGCATTATTATGCACAACATGATAATTGAGGATGAATGTGATCTTAATGCTACAATTGAAAATTGGAAGGAAGCGCCAGTTCCGGACGTAGAGATGGTTGTAGATGAAAATGCTCGGTTTGAAGGATTTCTGGCTCATTATCGACAAATCAAGAATAAAGAAGCTCATATTGCACTTCGAGATGCATTAATTGATCATTTGTGGGATGAATATACTAATTCGGAGACTTAGAATTTTATCAATATGGACCGTGTCTTTGTGTTTTATTTTATGTTAAATGTAATGCCTTTTATTTTTATTTTTTTTTGCTTGCAAGTGTGATGTTTTCTTTTGTGATGTTAAATGTAATCTTTAGTTGAAGTTATGAAAGTAATATTTTAATTTGATTTAGCATTTAATTTTTATATTTTTATTTTATTCATAAAATATATTATTATAATTAATTATATGTATTATATAATTATATAATTATATAATTTGTTAAATATTTTAAATTTCAAAAAATGTTAAAAGATAAGAATAATAAAAGGAATATTCTTTTTGGTGTAACATTTGGTGTAATGGGTTGGAGATGGAATAATAATTTGGTGTAAAAACTACACCAACTTGGTGTAAAAACTACATCATTTTGAGTTTTATGGTTGGAGATGCTCTAAGCGCATGAACACAACATTATTAGGGACAACACAGCATTATTAGGGACATGTGCCATGCCGTCTAATGTCTGACACTGGTTTTTATTAATTTAAAAAACTAGACTTGAAGATGGTTTCTATATTCATGTCACTTGATTTATGTATTTCTCTGTTCTTACCGTACTGTCTGGAATTTTTGATATAAAATATATGATCTTGATCATTTTTACCAAAATGTTATCATGGAATATGAATGTGAATAACCTTCAGTGTATCATAATTGAGATGTCATTGCCACATGGAGTGAGGATAGTCCTCAAGATCTCTTGTGATTTCAAAGGCTGTGGTGAAAGGGTCAATGAAGCATTGTTAGGTTTCTTAATCCCTCGTGCGAAAAGGGGAAATGGATAGCTTACCCTTACCCTACAACTGGAATGAGTTAAACTAGCCCTTTACACTTATCACTGTTGTACGAAGTAATACCAACATTTGCTATAATTTATATAGACCATATCTTATTGCGCGTAGTGAGTCCGTAACCCCTCAAATATGAGGGGTTAGCATATCATAACTCGTCAGTTAATGTTCACAAGGCACACCGTGTGCTCTGCGTAGGAGATGGGCTGTGGTGATCAACCTGTCCGTAACCCATCATTCATATTTCCTCCTTCCTATTGGGTTGATGGTTTCAGGATGTGTTAAATTCCTCAACTCTTAGCTCAGTACACAAATTGGCCGAGTTGCTCGACTGTATTTTACATGTGACATTATTAACTGGAGTTGTAAAATTGTTTCCTGCGCAGAAATGATGCTTAGTTAACCGATTAACCCAATAGCTAAATATTACTTGACCTCCTTGTCAAACAGTCCAAAAATCTTATCTAGCATCTTCAGGGTAGTAGATTCTACATGCATAAACAATGTAGCTAAAGTGCCAGGACAACATTGTGATGGTATTTTGTAATTTCTCATGGAGCAAAATATAATAAGTTCCATCAGAACAGTGTGTTGTTGCTAAATATGTTGCTGTTAAATATGCAATTTTATTATTTCAGGAGTTAGACCGAGAGTCTGTTTAGCCAATGTTGGGTTCGCACTCTGAATAGTGACAAGAAAAATAATAGCTGTTTTTTATAGCTGTTTTCTGTGTTAATCCTACATGATTCAGTTCTGCACATCGAGAATGTTTTTGTTGGTTACTATGGTTATTTAATATTTTTTCATTAGTGTCTATCTTATTTCTCTTTAAACTGAGAGTCTGTTTAGCTAATGTTGGGTTGGCACTCTGAATAGTGACAAGAAAAATAATAGCTGTTCTTTGTAGCTGTTTTATGTGTTAATCCTACATGATTCAGTTCTGCCCGTCGAGAATGTTTTTGTTGGTTACTATGGTTATTTAATATTTTTTTTCATTAGTGTCTGTCTTATTTCTCTTTACAATTCATGTTCTATAGTCTTATGGTAATCCTTCTATAATAAGTTTTTTAATCTTTACATAACTTTATCTGGATGTGTCTCTGCAGGATGAACTGAGAGATGCTGTGCTGCTTGTGTTTGCAAACAAACAGGATCTGCCAAATGCGATGAACGCTGCTGAAATTACTGACAAACTTGGCTTGCATTCCCTTCGTCAGAGGCACTGGTAGGGTTATTGTAATTGTTTGTTAGGCGCTTTTCTATTTAACAATCGTGGATACACTTCTACCTGGGGTTACTCAACTGCACCAACGATCTCATATTTGTATTTGTAAATACACTTCTCTTTGTTCGTGTCTTACTAGGGTACTTGAACTACATCTGTCCATTTTTCAAAATAAATGATATCCGTACTCATTTAGGGAAATCACAAGTTTTTCAATAGCATGACATAAAAACTGAAATGATATCTTTAGATCTTGACTGTGATAAAATTAAAATTTTTGACCAGAGTATTCATACAAAGAAACCTAAATTATTTATTTCTAATCAAGTTATTTTAAAGATCCAGGGAAAACATACTCAATCCATTTAAGTTGGGTTTACTATTTCTTTTTAGATCAACAAAAAAATTTCTCATTCTAGTGGATTCATTTTGGATGAAACATCTTGTAAGGTGTAAGTTTGGTAGAATCCATGTTCTGAGTTCATTACGATGTTCAATAACTAGGGTACTTGAACTATATCTGTCTATTTTGCAAAATAAATGACATATCCACACTCATTAGGGAACTCAAAAAGTTTCCAATAGCATGACATAAAACTGAAATGCATATCTTTAGATCTTGACTCAGATTATACTGACCAGAGCATTTATCGAAAGAAACCTAAATTATTTATTTCCATTCAAGTAATTTCCAAGATCTGGGGAAAACATACTCTTATCCATTGAAGTTGGGGTTTTACTATTTCTTTTTTAAATCAACAAAGTCTTTTTCATTCTAGTATATTCATTTTAGATGAAACATCTTGTAAGATGTAAGTTTGATAGAATCCATGTTCTGAGCTCATTACAATACTCATGAGGTCTAAGCATGTTTAGCAGTGTACTTTTGTTGTGGAGTGGGTTACTAATCCTATCTTAAGCCATATAGAATGTTGTTGTGTATTTATATGTTTATGTTTTCCTCTCATTGTTCTCTGGAAGTCCAATGTAAGCATGTGTAGGATATTAAGAGAATTTGTATTGCCCCGTATTTTTATCCTTAAGCCACTTTCACATTGTTAGAGCACAAAAACAAGAAAAAGATGCCCGTGTTCTGATTAACAGTGTGTTCTGGTTATAAGTCAGTTCAATGCAAGAGATGATTATGTATGTTGTAGGACTATATTCCAGGTACTAGAATACACTTCTAGATGACTACTAAGGCTTTCAGTTATAGAAAGGAAAGATTTTATTGTAGATTGAGTCGCAGATTTTCTATAAGCTTCTGTTATTTGAAAACTTTATTTTATGTAGTTATTTGTATATTTGCTCTTTGCCATGAACAATTTGTGGATGCCTCAAGTTAAAAGGACCAGTTTTATGGAGTTATCAAGATATTTTAAACTTACGAAAACATATATCATGTGAAATTTCAATCTCTGATAAACATCGTTCTGTTAGCGTAGTTTGGAATACTTGATTTCTTCTAATGCCTTGGTTGTTTAACGAGAGACCGGCATAAATTGATTCATGAAATTTATGATGTCTTTCAGGTACATACAGAGCACTTGTGCTACATCTGGCGAGGGTTTGTACGAGGGGCTCGACTGGCTCTCCAGTAACATTGCCAACAAGGTATGCCGTTCATCGCCATCAACACACATATGCTAAATTTTCTTAAGGTCACAGAATGTCGCCATTTACGAGTGCCTTCATGTCTCCTAATGTGACAACGTTATTTTCCTTTATCTTTTTTCCAGGCTTGAACTTCGTTCATCAGGGGGCGCGGCGAGAATGTAAAACAAACTTGTACGGCTTGTTAATCTCTCCGGACGTCTTGGTTTTCGTGTCGATGTGGGTGGTGATCATGTTTGGATTGTTGTTCGTGTTTCTTGCTTTATTGCTTTATTGCTTAGGTCTTCTACGGTTATGGAACCTTCACTGTTTTGTAGCATTTGGCTTGTGATGTAATTAGTTTACATGGTTTTCTGATATATCATCCTTGCTATATAATTGTCATCATTGCCATGTGATCAGCTTTCTCTGGGTTTGGTTCTATTGTTGACTTCTTGTATTTTAGAAAGTAATTGGTTTGTTTTTTTTTATTAAGATTTTTGAGCTATTTGTGCAGTTGAAAGTCAGGACCCATTGCGGTTCATTTTTGTTGAAGGCCGCAGCATTGTTTGTGATATTACAAGCTTTTAATTCCAAAAAGTTGAAAGCTTCGATTTACTGGACGAAATTTTTGTCGGGTACGGGCATTGAATTAAGAAAGTGCAATTATAGACAGATCATCTGCAGCATATTCTTTGCATTTAATAATGATTTTTGTCAACATGTTAAAAAAGTTGCGCGGGTTTCCAATATTACACCACCGTATCTTTCTTATTGTATATTAGACTCTCAAATATTTATAAATTTAAAATCATTTCCAAATTTGTTTTAAGTTGATAAAAAAAAATACTAGTTCTTTGGTGCAAGTGATGCTTGCATTATATAATTAATAAACTTGTGTGTAAAGAAAAAATATTTTTAGGATAAATTTTAAAAAGCAACCCATTTCCAAAAATAATTGTAAAAAACGACCTCTTCGAAACTTATTTGCCGAAAGCGACCCAGTTTCAGCCAACTGGCTAAGATTGAGTCGTTTTTGGCAAAAAAAAAAAAAAAAAAAAAAAAAAAAAAAAAAAAAAAAAAAAAAAAAAAAAAAAAAAACAAAAAACAAACAAACTTCACGAGACTGGCCAAAAACAAAAACACCAAACTTTACGGGAGTTCAAGTCCCGTGAAGTTTTGTTATGAAAAAAACTTCACGGGACTTGAAGTCCAATGAAGTTTGGTTTTTTTCGCCAAAAACGACTCAATCTCAGCCAGTTGGCTGAACTGTGTCGTTTTTGGCAAATAAGTTTCAAATAGATCGTTTTTTATGAATAAGTTTGGAAATGGGTTGGTTTTCAAATTTTGTTCATATTTTTAATATAAAATTTTGTTCATATTTCCTACTCACTTTTACTCAAAATCAACGATATTGCATCACCACTGAGAGGTTTGATCGATCCCGATTTGCTGTCAGTGTTTGTTTCAATAAGGCACTACAGGCCCTTGTGTCATTAGCCCCTTGTATGATGGCTCCTCCTCCTACCGATCCACCGGAAAAGGTCACATCCGAATCTCGTTTTTGCCCTTATTTCAAGGTATTGAAATTTAAATACACTATATAAGTCTTCATTCATTGTTATTATTATAATTTTAAAGTCACATTTCATATATGTTAATGGGAACATATAGGACTGTATCGGTGCTATTGACGGGACCTACATTCCATGTATGGTGTATGGCGAGGACCAAACTCCATATCGTAATAGACATGGCTATCTTTATCAAAATATCCTTGCAGCATGCACATTTGATCTTAGGTTTATTTATGTCTTAGTGGGATGGGAGAGATCTGCCAATGATTCACGGGTCTTGAAGGATGCAATGAGTAGAAGTGCATGCAGTCTTCCACTTCCAAATGGTAAATATTTTTTTATCAAATTGTTAGATTTTATATTTATTGATTATAATTCTAAAGAAATGTTAATGCATGTAAATTTTATCTTGTTGATTGTGGTTACCCAAATAGGCTACAATTTTTGGCTCCCTATCGAGGTACGAGGTACCACCTAAAAGAGTTTGACCCAGCTAACAACCGTCAGCGACCACACAATGCTCATGAGTTATTCAACCATCGACATGCATCACTAAGAAATTGTATTGAACGTATTTTTGGTATTTTTAAGTCTAGGTTTACTATTTTTAAGTCTCAACCTCCAGGTTTTCCATATGAGACTCAAAAAAGTATGATCTGGGCATGTATCGGTCTATATAATTTTCTGAAGATGGAGAACTCCAACGATGACTTTGAAGTTTCTGATCTTCCTCCAGAGGCACCACGCAATGTTGCTCCGATTGATGGTGATTCTGATGAGGACGATGACCTACAAACTCAACAAGCACAAAGGACAGCTGCATCACGTTGGAGAGAATAAATAGCAAACACAATGTGGGAGGATGGGACAAACGTAGCCCAAGGAGTCTAGAGCAAAGTTATATGCCGGTAGATTATATTTGTAATAATTAAGATTTAAGTTACCGACTGAGACTTTATTTGTAATAATTGAGACTTTATCATCATTATTGTAATAGATGTATGAATGATTAAATAATTATTGTAATTAAAAATTTTATTAATATAGCATAATAGTTAAAATAAACATCAAAATATTTAAAGATTGATTAATATTAATATTATTATTATATTATTTTTAATATTTTATATTAAAATAATCTTAAAAAATAATATTATTGTATATTATAACTATTATTTATTTAATCATTTGATGTTATATCAAGTTAAACTTGAACTTAATTGAGCTATAAATATAATATTATAAAAAGATGTCATACCAATTGTCCCACTCAAATTGTCCTATTACTCCATTTTACCCCCACTTTATCCCACTCAAATTATCCTATTGGGTAAAATTACCCCTATTGGAACAATTTAACCTAATTTACCCCCAAATTACACCAATGAATAACACCCCACCCCTAGTAGAAAATATGGATAGTGGAGGGAAGTTATCAAGTAGTGGATGTTAGTTAAAGTGTTTTTTTAGATTTTTTCAATTTTGTCCTTCTAATTAGTTTCAATTTACAATAAATTGTGGAGGATATATATTAAAATTTTTAAAATCATGACACACATAGATCTGACTTTTTGTAAATAATAGCAATAATTTTTTGTTAGATTTAACTATAACTATAACTACTTCTCTTTTACTTGTAGTTTCTGTGGAACGTTATCGTTATGCCCTTGCCTTCATCAAGGGTTGGATTTAAATGGGCTTAGTTTGCGTTGATGCCAGCGGCGGAGCCAAAATTTTACAATAGTCGTGCCACGATATATATCAAAGCAATACTAGTTTCTCACACATTATAATTTGAACTTTAATGAGATACAAAAAACATATTTAGCTAAATACAATTACAACCCACTCCTTCAGGTCTTTATGTTTTGAAATCAATAGCTTCAGTTTAAAATACTACTAAATACATCCTCTTTAGTGTTAACTCAACTAAGTTATTGCTCATCCACTTATCACTCATTCGATTACGCGTATGATTCTTTATAATTTTCTTTGCAGAAAAATAAAAATAAAAAAGAGCTTCCTGCATAAGCCATAGTAATTGTTAATATTTACGTTGACTTACTGAGTAAATGTATCAAGGAAAAATTGCTTTAAGGCCCCAAAACAAAAAAAGTCATGTGTCCCAGCCCCTCCAATTATTTGTAATGTGCTGCAGTCCTAAAATTTTGAAAAAAGTTTGCCCAAGCCCCTCCATCATGACTCCAGCTCATGTTTGCCCCAAAACCCAATTTTACCCCTTCCCAAAATCACTGTAATCTCCCCCAAAATCACACTTCTTCTTCCTCCTCTTCCTCCTCCGTCTCCTTCCTCCCTCATTCCTCGCCGCAACCGCTGCTCTCTCCTCCGTCGTCTCCTTCCTCCCAAAAAACCACATGTTCTTTTCTCCCGTCGAAGCATGTCACAGGCTGGCACAATGACACAGAGCTCCATTTGGCAGCGCAAAGGGGGATCTCGCTGCTGTTAGGGGGATTTTGGGGGAGGTTAATGCTCAGATGACGGGGATCGGGGTTGAGTTTGACGCAGAGGTGGCGGCCATCAGGTCGGCGATGGTGAATGAGTTGAATTGGATGGGGGCGACTGCGCTGTTCATTGCGGCGGAGAAGGGGTATTTGGATATTGTGGTGGAGTTGTTGAGGTACACGGATAGAGAGAGCTTGGCAAGGAGGAATAGGTTGTGGTTTGATTCGTTGCATGTGGCTGCGAGAGAGGGGAATCGAGGTATTCATGAAAGAAAAAA